TTCAATCAAATTCAAATAATACTGTTGTAAGATGGAAGAACAGAGCGAATAACACATTGGACAATTTTATTTATATTATGATTTAACCAAAAGCTTATTTGAATGTTTCTCAGCCACGAGTACATTTATAATCGGTTCAGGAAGTTTTCAGTCGCACCGTGTAGTCCTGATGTATTGGGCGAGTTCACCTCCTAATAGATCACGTTCACGGGAATAATCAACGAAACTGCGCGTCCCATCGTCGACGCGGACTAATCACGGGGAAGGACGGTGATATTGTTTCGGATAAATTATTGCACTCGTATCGACGAGCTTTCGTAATGACCCACATTTCGTGGATCGTTCCGCCGGCCTTCCATCTAGACCGGCTCGAGTACCGTCGATAACAGCGGGCCATGAACCTTGATAGAATTTTTCTGGTTTATCCGATAACGATCTTATATGGACTGTTATAAAAGTCGATAAGTTCAGAAAGAAATATTGCCGGGCGCAGTAATGTCGCAGAAGGCACCGGGACAAATATCGAAGGACTTTGGCTGTTTAAAAGCGAAGGATCAGGTGTTTGGTCGAACGTACGATGTTCTGAAACCTGTTTCTGATTTACAGCAAATAAATAAAGACGACGATAAGCAAGGAAAATCGATAAACGTTAAGTGCAAATATGTTTTGTAGGTCTATTGTAGATTCAAATTAAGAACTGATACTACTGTCTTTTTTAAGCAAATCTTTTTGCACTTTCAAGTTTTATGTTGCACCTAGTGTTAGGTGTTTCTTCTTCAAAATTTATTTTACATGAAACGTAAACCTGTTACAGAATATTTCGAGTTTCAAAACGAACAGTATGTTATATTTCAGAATAAAAGTATCATGATTTACCAGTAGGAGATGTTCAAGAAAAAGGGTCTAAGACTTTAGGTGCTTATAGTACCTACCCACCGAGTGGAGTAACAAATATCTAATCAACACAGGTCACAACATCAATCCTTTCGATATTATGAACTTGCGTTTTAATACGTTCACTGTTATTTAGACTTTACTGTATTATAGACGTTACTTTAGTTTTATATAAATTTGAAACAATAGCAAGATGCCTATATGAACCAAAGAAAAAATTTGGAAATGAGTTTCGTAGGTATTGAACATTTAACATCGATGTACTCAGCATATTTCTACAAAAAAACGTTTTGGCACCGAGGGAATTAAACACTTTATAATTATTACGACGACTATGTTGACTGTTTTTAAATTTGGTTTGCAATTATCCAAACTTTTCATTGAAAATAACATTTCTTTACTGAAAAACTGTAGTTTCACCCGTTACAATATGCAGGACACATATTTGTAGCTACTTTAACACGCAATACACCTAGAGTGCTGACAATTTTTCAGGGATTATAACACCAGTCATTCTTTATTCCGAAGTTCGTAATACACGGCCTCTTTCTTTAACTAAAGTAGATATTTCATGTGCCAAGAGATTCATGCTGTATTTCACATACCGTGACATTTTTTGCCCCATATCACTGGAGAAAATGGAGTTTGATAGCTGAACTACTTTCCACCTTTATAACCGAAATTTTCTGGCTACCGACTGAACTTCTTTTACGGTCAGATAGTATTTTTTTATCATATTATCAAATATTTCATAGTGTGCAGGGTAAAGTTTGTACGTATATATGTACCGAAGCGAGATATCCGATTCCGATAAAATTTGGCACAGAGATTACGTAGCGAAAATTTTTGAAATACATCATTTATCGTAAAATAATTTATATTTAAATTTGTATGTTCGATATTGTGTATCTTTAAAAGAAAGTTTAATTTTTTCCTGTCATGGAATCATAGGTATTATTTCCATCCTTGATCATGATCTGAATAATTTATACCACTCACAACCATCGTTTTTTGATTATTAGCTTGTACACGCAAACTCAAACTTACTTCATCTTGCTCGAGCACTTTTCATAAATTGTTAGATAACAGAGCATGAATGCCAGTGGTATTTAAAAGTTCATTAAATTAATTATTTACATTTTACCGAGGCCATTATACTTGGTGCTTTTGATTCAACCAATTTTATCGAACTCTCGAATTTCCGATATTCGATTATACAATAGCTACCTGGATATACTGGTAATACGATCACGATTAAATAAACGTACGTACATAGGTACATACTGCCATAAACCATGTAACACAAATTATGTTAATAAATCAGATTCTCGTAAAGTCAAATTCGTAAACCACTTGCCCGATATACTAGCGAAGTACCATAGAATTTATACACGTAAAAATCATGGCAACGTAAATTATAATGTACAAAGTGTAATTAAAATAATGAAAATTCAATTTTTTCGGTTTTATCAACAACCGCCACTGCTTATGTATGTAAATTCACATTCTTGTCACCAATTTACAAAAATTAAAGTTAGACACAAATTTACTTTATCTCACTATGCTTGCAAAAGTTTCATAATTAGACTGGATTTTTGAGCAAAATTACATTTTAAAAAGTAATTCATAAAGACAGGAACAAATGTAGCAATTAATTTTTTCTAGTAAGTATCTTATTGAGTTTAAAATTAAATAGAAAACTCGTTGCATCTGATGAAAGTTCTACTATTATTGTAATTCACAGAGCTCGACAGGTTACAAATGCATAAAATCCTTGGTCTAATTACAATTATCAGACATAACATACTTAACTGCCTTAAACTTTGCAATCTCTAACAGAAGAATCAATTTGAAACCACTTTAAGATACAATTTTACAGAAAACAAGATTCTCAAGAGACTTTCAGATAACAAAAAAACGAAGCTAATCGGTAAAATAACATTAAATTCCAACAGTTATATTCTCCCGGGGTTTCCGCTAATAACCTAATACACACTGTCATTGGGACTATAAACTCTGTAGTAAAAAAAACTACCCCATGTAAATATAATTAAATTTTTTCAGCCTTGCCTCTGTTATTACATGTTGTGCAATAAAAGATATTATTAATATATAAATATTCGAAAATTAGTAATTGTTCATACCATCGTATGCCTCTAATTGTTAAAAAATATCTCACAACTACCAACGTTACACCATTTCTACATTCTTCAAACGACAATAAAAAACAATGTCACGTAATACTTCATCACTATAATCAATTCAGAATGTCCGAAAGTCAAACAATAAAATACACCGTTCACAAGTTGTACTTTATCACAGTAAGTCTCGCGGATCAAATTCTCAAGCCTGCAATTCCATTGCCATTTTTTTCGCTTCAACGCTCGCTCCATTCCGTCACGAAAACAAGAAAGAAAGAAAAAAACAAACGAAAGAACGTGTGATTTTCGATCCTGTATTACTATAATCAATTCAGAATGTCCGAAAGTCAAACGATAAAATACACCGTTCACAAGTTGTACTTTATCACAGTAAGTCTCGCGGATCAAATTCTCGAGCCTGTAATTCCATTGCCATTTTTTTCGCTTCAACGCTCGCTCCATTCCGTCACAAAAAAATAAAAAGAAAGAAAAAAACAAACGCAAGAACGTGTGATTTTCGATCCTGTATTACCTCGCGTCCCTCAGCTACAATGGAGTCCCTGGTGCATAAAACTGGAAGTCACCGTTCGACCTATTGTCCCGGCAATATAACTCAAGTGTCACCCCGTTATTTAACCATAGTGTGTACACTGAGCCTTTGTATTCTCTGGCGAGCTGTTGCGGAGACGCAACGGAAGAG